CACTGTGTGGAAGTTTAGGGACGCAACCACCTTTCCGAGGACGTGGTTGGGAAGAGATAAGTGTTAAGACTAAACAGGAGCAAGGTTGGACAGTGAATGGAGCCATCAACACCAGCTGCAACGTGATGTTTTTGTAACAATTGCACACATGTACGTAATTTACACTCACATCCACACACATCGTCAAACAAGTTCAGTGTGTCTTCAACAGCCCCCACCCGTTAGGTTGGACACACCTATGTAGTAGATTTCCCAATAAATGATGGGGTGAAGGAGGAGATCGTTAGGGGTGACGTGCCGAGAACTGAAACCTAACGCTTCTCCTCGTTCCCTCCTGGTACCAGAATTGAGTCTCCTGTCTCCTCCTTGTGTTTTTTGTCAGTGATGGCAATGGCGAGAGATGAAAAAAGCGGAAAGGGGCGGGGCCCGAACGGGGCGTGGCCTGGACGGGGCGTGGTTACTTACAAAAGTGGCACGAAACATGCTGAATATGAAGTGTATTCAATTTACGCACTATTTGAAACTTGAACAGAAAAAAATCCCAAGATTATTCACTATTCTTTCAAGTGAAAATTTGTGCAATTTTGCTTATGCATTCCTGGTGAGCACCAATATGTAACTCCAAATTTACTGCTAAAAATCAAAACTAAAAAAGGAAACACATTCCCTGCCATATTTAAGATTTGTTCATGACATGTATTCATAAAGTGCTGTGTAAATGTGATAAAAAGCGGTTGATTCTGACCTCATACAGTGATAGTTATGAATGTATTTATTATATTTTATTATATAAAGTCTATTTACAGTATATACAACAATATACAGTTTCATGACGTTGAATACTTTATTTTCTCTTCATTTTAAGCTTTTTAGCAAGCGCTTAAAAGCTTATTGGTCCTCTCTGTCTTTTTCAGTCTCTTTTTAGCCAACTCCTTTTGTTTTTCCACATGCTCCAGGCTGTCGAAAAGCGCTTGAGATCGAGTAGTTACTTTTCAGTAGAAATGTCTGTTTTCGGTGTTTCACCGAGGTTGCGTGACTCTGTAAAGCTCTCCATTCTCTCGATCCGTATAGAATGACATCATCACACACCGTACACAGAGCTTTACCGGCGACATCGAGCTTTTTCACAAAATCCGACACAAGCACGATGGTTCCTCTTTACTGTTTCCTACTGGGGACACCGTCAGCTTTCTATCCAACCAGTCCCATCGAAACGTGTTTTTCAGATCCGCATCTATGTGACGCACTTTCGCTTCGTCGCGAGTCCCGATAACATTCGGCATTCGCGAGAATGGGGTTTAGGAAGGCGAACACGGATTGGTTGTGATTCGCATTTGCCAATATAGCGACCAATCGCAACAAGTAAGACATCATACACGTCCAATCGCAGGGCTGTTAACAATTGGAAGATGGAAAGACTGATCGGAAGAGCTCGTGAAAACTCGACAATAAGGTACCTGACCCCCCCCTAAAATTTTCTCAACGGATTTAGACGATTCACAAAAATGATCAATTTAAGAAATAAAACGGCGGATTCCCGCGTATCCGCGGAAAATTGCCATCACAAGTTTTATTCCGAAGTGTCATATTGGATAAACCTGACAAAAGCTCTTGCCATTACAAGGAGAGAATGATTTTCGAGAACATAAAACAATAGAGTTTAGTCCAATAAATGAAACCAGGTGCGATACCGAGACGAAACAAATACTCACAAACCCGAACGACTATGATGAGGAGGGCGATTAGAAGCAGAAGCATGAACGAGACATAAATCGCGTGGGCAAAGCGGTGAACAAGAGCAATAGTCCGACAAAGGAGACAGGTGGTCCGTGTCTTTAAGTAGGCAGCACAGATTGCCTTGATTCAGCACAGGTGCACCGCTGGAAGGTGACGCCCCACACTCCAGCTGGTGCTGAAACACTCAAGGAACAAAACAAAAACAAAGCAAACCATGACACTTCCTTTCCAAGTTGTAAGATAACAGGCACCAGTGTGTCTACTAATGATGTGGTCACGTACCATCTGCTCGGGTCCCTTGATCTCTCTGACTCTATGCTTCCATTGTGTGCAAGATGCTCTGAACACAAGCATTTCGAGGTCAATCAGGCATGTAACAAGATGAAACTCTAAAACATGACAACATTGTCTTTTTCTATTCTAAAATTCTGTCGTATTGACAAGTTTTAAAGTAACATCAAACATCAATCATTGAAGTCCAAGATGGCGCCCGAGTAGGCAGCCATCTGCAAGTGCTCTCATGAGCCTTGCTTTTTTTTGTTGTTTTTCTGTTTGTTTTGTCACTTTGTGTTTGTTGTTACGTCGTGTGGACCTGATGTGGACTGTTTTCAGCAATTTTTGGCCACGACATTCATCAAGGAGGAGACTCGGTGCTTGGTGGTTTTGCCTTCTCGGCAGCATGGGTATGCCAGCACTGTTTTTGATTGGGAGGAATGTCGGCGCCATTTGACTGTCGTTGCTGGACAGCTCCAGGGGCGCTTGTGTCTTGCGCCTGTAATTGGCAGCATTTTACACAGCCCCGCTTTGTTCAGCGGAGAGATCGGTGCTGTTGAACGGTCTGCGGCTGGATGGATGCAAGGCTTGAGGAGCCGACGATGAGAAGAAAGGAGCGTTAGCGCAGAGCGCCGATGCGGATGTGGAACCGGGAGTCGCGGCTTGGAGTTGAAGCGGATTACGTGGGACAGGAGTAGTGAACTAATCTCTTTTTGTCAATGGACGCTACAGCTTCGTGTTTGCTTTCAAAACTTAGCTTGTAGCAGACGTGCACATTTTCAGCATGACGTCTCTGATCCACTGGTAAAAGGACACTTTGATCCTCTCCTCTTTCATCTATAACTGCTTCAGACAACAAAGTGTATGCAGGAAAGTGGTGAAGATTGCACGACTGCCTGTGTCCTATGTGTTGTGTTGTGTTGTGTTATTTTTGTTATTTTGACTTCAAGATGGCACCGCGAGAGTGGTTGCCTTTCCAGCAGCTCCGATATTTTGTTCTTCTACTTCTTCCTTTTATAACTTTGCTGCTGTGATTTGGAATTTCTCCATTGCGAGACTAATAAAGGTTTTCTTATCTTATCTTATTTAAATTAAATAAGATTGATTAAATTCATCAACAAATGAGCAGAGTGGTGAGTGTTTTAATTATGAAAAAGAGTGTATAACAGGATCAAGTGGACACCGCAAGTCTTAATGCTCAGAACGAATTTGCAACAGTAGGACTAAAAACATCATAGTTGGTCCGTGGCTATTTTTTTTTTCCAATGTGCTTGTCCACTGTCTTGGTATTTGTGTTTGGGTGACATTTGAAGCATCTAAACCAGGGTTGGTTGTTAAAAAAATAAAAATCACATTATGGAGCAGGTGAAAAAAAAAAAAAAATCGCTGATTATTTTTCAAAAGCATTCGCCTTACAATTTAGCTGTACAAGCCACAGATTGCTTACATCGCACCCTTTTTGTCTTTTACCCATCCAGCCGCAATTTGAAGGAGCTTACAATTCATTCAGTGATTTGAGAAGTCGCAGCGCAACGAAACAATCACTTTCACCCTGCCCAACTCATTGAGTGCAAACAGCCGTCGTGATTCGTGATTTCTGCTGGTAGGTCAGTGGAGACAAGCTACGCGGCATCTCCTAACAAAAAGAGATATATGCATGAAAAATGTCATCCTTGCCAAGCTAGTGATGATGTCGATGTTTATGTGTGATAAATACCTGACACGTTGGTCTCTTGGCATTCAGGGCTCCCCAGAAGTTGATGCTGTGGACTACCTTCACGGAGGAACATGAGGGACACGTTAGAATAAGCGAAACCGTTTTACTTAAAGCATTGAAATGATTAGGGCATCAGCAAAACTCAGATGAAGTCCGATCAACAATCCTGATCATTTGAATCCGATGTGAAAAAAAAAAATCTAAATTGCGCATGATAGTAGTCCTTGAGGACCAGAGTTTGCCCACCCTTGACTTCAAGAGTCACACCTGCACAGGCTCACCTTGCTCTGGATCTGTTCCAGGTTGAGGAGCCCAATCTTCTCCTGAAACAATAAGAAAATCATGATAGTAAGAATATCACAACATTTTGAGATGTAAATTTGACTTAATGGAGA